AAAAAAAAAGTAACGGAAAACGATATTGAATACAAAAACAAAAAAGATAAATCAGAAATACTTAATCATTTTTTTGTAAACACTGGTCTAAACCTGGCATCAAAAATCAAAGGCTCAGAAACATCGTTTCAAAATTATTTTAGTGATTTTGAAAGCTCATTGCCAGATAGTAATTTAACTTTTGATGAACTAAAAACAGCAATCAAATCAATTAAAAAGAATAAGGCCCCAGGTATTGATGACATCTCTGGCAATGTTGTGCTTTATATTTTTTCTGTAATAAGAAAGCCTATTTTTAATATCTTCAGCTCTTCAATCAAAAACGGAATTGTCCCAGACAAATTAAAAAAAGCAAAAATTGTACCTATATTTAAAGGTGGAGATACATCTGCAATTAGCAATTATAGACCAATCTCAATTCTTCCTATATTTTCTAAACTCCTTTAAAGAATAATTTACAACAGACTGAATAAATATTTAATAGAACACAAAATCTTAAGTGAAAATCAATACGGATTTCATAGAACTTATTAAACTTAACACATGGTTCAGAGCTAACAAATTGTCATTAAACTTAAACAAAACTAAATAATCTTATTTCACCCCAACCAAAAAAAAGGCTATCCCATCAATTTTACCAACTCTTAGTATAGACAACACATTTATTGAACGAACTCAATCATCTAAATTTCTTGGTGTGCTTCTTGACGAGAAATTATCTTGGAACTCTCACATAAATACCATTAATACAAAAGTCTCAAAAAACATTGGTCTACTCAATAAAGCAAGAAATTATTTATCTTTCGAAAATTTAAAACTTCTTTATTTTTCCTTTATACACAGCTATCTATCATATTCCAATATAGCATGGGCAAGTACCCATAAAACTAAATTAAGTTCACTCTATAGACGACAGAAACTCACCTCAAGAATTATTTTTTATAAAAACAAATTTACTCACGCAAACCCATTACTAAAACAGATGAATGCTTTAAACCTTTACCAAATTAATATATATTAAAATATTTTGTTTATGTTCAAACATAAAATGGGAATTATTCCAAGTCGATTTATGAATAACTTTTTTAAAACTAATATAAACAAATTTAGCACTAGAGCAACTGGAAACTATATAGTACCCCTTAAAAAAAGAAAACTCAATTCTCAATAGCATATCGTGGTCCTTACTTGTATAACAAATTAATACCAAAAAATCCCTCAATATCTCTCCTGAAAAATATAAATTCCTTAAAATCTTATCTTAAAAAACTTGTCTTAAATACAAGCAGTTATATGGAAATTTTCTAAAAACTTATGAGTAATTAAAATATCAAAATCATGTACATAAAATAAAAATAAAAATAAAAAAAAAATAATAATAATAATAATAAAAAAAAAGTATGAATATACATATATACATGTATGTTTATGTGTATGTGTGTATGTATATATATATATATATATATGTATGTATGTATATATATATATGTATGTGTGTATGTGTATATGTGTATATGTATGTATGTGTATATGTATGTATGTGTATATATACATATATATATGTGTATGTGTATGTGTGTATTTATGTGTATGTGCATGTATGTGTATATATATATATATATGTGTGTGTATGCGTATGTGTGTATGTGTATGTGTGTATGTATATATGCATATATATATGTATAAATATATATATATATATATATATATATATATATATATATATATATATATATATATATATATATATATATATATATATATATATATATATATGTATATGTGTATATGTATATATATGTGTGTGTATGTGTGTGTATGTATGTATGTGTATATATATATATATATATATATATATATATATATATATATATATATATATATATATATATATATATATATATATATATATATATATATATATATATATATATATATGTTATGTTTATGTTATGCTCCTTCCTAAAAACACGACTAATTATATTGAAAAATGTAATAAGTAATGAATAAAATATTTATGAGTATCTCATGAAATTGTTTAAAAAAAAGGGTTCTCGATGACAAGACTTTACACAGTTTTCTGCGAGTTTCCCTTGACTACATAACTAAAGGTTTAATTTTTCTTTTTTAAGACTTTTTTTGTCTTTTCAATATATAAACTGAAAAACTATTTTACATTATTTTATTACTTTGTACATCAAATATATCTTAGTATTATTTCAGTTATTTTCAAAGCATTTTGACTGTATTTGTAATAAAAGTATATATTGTTAAAGCTATGTAGTTGTAAAAATATATGGAAAAAAAAAAAAAAAAAAAACGTAAATACAAGTTTAAAGGAAAAATCAGTACACATGCAATGATAAACAAAAAAAATAGTTTACTTTCATCGCCAATTGCAAGTTGTACAAGTGCAAAAAAAGTTATTTTCGAAAACGAAAACTACTCAAAATATTGAGTGTAACAATGAAGATTACAAAAACAATTATAACTTTATTATGAACTTTTCTATATTAAAAAGAATATTTAGTAAGTATATTTTTTGTCCTGAATGTGGAAATAAAATTACTTTGCAAGATAACATTGGGAAAAAAATGGGATTTTGTTTACAACTTGAAATTTTTTGTGAAAGCTGTGATAAAATTATAGACACATTTAAAACGTCAGCAATAATTAAAAGAAGTGCAGAAGTTAATACACAAGTTGTTGTTGCTTTTAGAGAAATAGGAAAAGGATATACTTCCATAGAATCATTTAATCGTTGCATGAATATGCCAAGACCGATGACAAAAAAAAACTATGGTAAAATAACAAAATTACTTCACAGTGCTTATGTCGAAGCAGCTAATACTTCTATGTCAAATGTTGAAAAGGAGACACATGATATTGTTGTGATGGATGTCATCAGTGATAATACAAGTATTGTTGATTGCCATGTTTCTGTTGATGGAAGATAGCAAAAAAAAAGGTCACACATCCATAAATGGTGTCGTTACTTTGATATCAACAAATAATCAAAAATGTGTTTTATCAAAACATTTTGTTTTATCAAAACAATGTAAAGGTTGTGAATACTGGAACAAAAGAAAAAATCAACCTGGTTATAATAACTGGCAAAACAATCACATTCGTATTATTAACCATATAAAATCCTCAAGATCAATGGAATCTGTGGGTGCTATTGAAATGTTTGGACGATCTGTGGAGAAGTATAAACTGAGGTATACATCTTATATAGGAGATGGAGTTACATCTTCATTCAATGATGTTAACAAATCTTAACCATATGGACCTAATGTTACTATTAATAAAAAAGAATGTGTCAGACATGTTCAAAAGCGTATGGGAACACGACTGCGAAACTTCCGCCAATTAATGAAATTAAATATATTGTCAGATGGGGGAAAAATAATGGGTAAAGGACGATTAACTGATAAAGCTATAAATACTTTGCAGAATTATTATGGTACTGCCATAAGGCAAAATCTTAACAGCATTTATGAAATGAAAAAGGGTATTTGGGCAACACTTTTCCATAACTCAGATATTCTTGATGAAACTGAACGACATAAATTTTGTCCTCAAAATGTAAATAGCTGGTGCATGTGGCAGTCAAATAAACTAACAGGTAAATCAATTTACAAAGCTAAATTAAATATTTCATAAGCAATAAATGAAATTTTAAAACCCATCTTTCAAGACTTGAGCAGAGATGAATTATTATCTAAATGTTTGCATGGACAGATACAAAATAATAATGAAGCAATTAACAATTTCATTTGGAAAAAATGTCCTAAAGATGTTTATGTAAGTCAAAATATTCTTGAAATAGCTGTAGCATCTACTGTTTTAGAGTTTAATGATGGAGCTAGTGGGATATATGAAGTTTTTCAACAACTACAGATAAAAACCAGTCGATTTATGGACATAGGAACCATTTAAAAAAACAAGACTCTAATAGGTTATATGATAAAAAAGACTTCAACAGCAGGTATTAGCAGAAGAAAGTTACTAAGAGCTATGAAAAAAGGATTCATAGATAAAGAAAATGAAGAAAGAGCATCATATTCTGCTGATGGTTTTTAGAATGATAAAAAAATTATCATTTTTTAATCACAAAGTCTTTAATTTTTTTGTGTTTTATTTTTTTAAATACTTTTCGACACATAAAACGCGTTTTCTCAACTTCTACTATAGATTTTGATTTGAAATTTTCAGCAAATGTTCTTTGTTATGTTGTCTAGGGTTTGTACCTCAATAAAAGTTCAATTTTCATTTTAAGTATAATTTTTTTTTTTTTGGCGTCTTCATTTTAATAATTTTTGAAAAAATTGATTATCTTTTAAAGAATTTATCATTTTTAAGCTTAAGTAGAAACCCTAGTTAATAGAACTACTAACATATCCTAAAAATTTGAAGTCCACAGCATTTGAAAAAATGGTATAATCACGTTTGAAAATTTTCTAAAATGGCTGCTTAATTAGTCCTTAATTACATTTTTTTTTCAAAATTTTTAATTAAAAAAAAAAGTTTAATTGATATCAAATAAAACTTAATTGCAATTGGTGTTAAATAACGTTAGTTTAAGCAACTTTATTTGACGGGGATATGCGTGTTTTCGAAAACGAACAGGTTCGTACAGTCCTAAATCAGAGCTTTTACAGCGTACGTACTTTGTGGATCCCCCAAAGTAGCTAGCTTTAGAACATCACCGTTATATTTAACTGTTAAAAGACCCTTTCATAAAACCTGACTTCCTCCACAGCTCCAGCCCATAACCCCTGACATTTACTTTTGTAATGACAATAATAAACATCCATTCACACTCATAGGATAGGACTATCTTAAATGTTGTGTTGTAGGGAACCAAAATTTATAAGTTCAATAAAAAAAAAAATGCAACAAAAATTTTATATAAAGTTATTTGAAGTTTCTTTATGGGTCGACGTTTAGCGTAGGCGGGGAATCTTATTTACGGAGATTTAATAAAAATTACATGCTTTAAGTTTACTGGGAATTTATTCTTTTTCAGGAGCATCTTTAATTTTAGCAGCACCACGAACACGACCGGTCCGACGAGCAGCAATGAGACCGACTTTACGACCAGCAGGAGTATCGCGAGCAACAGTTGATGGGAAACCAATGTGTTGGTGATTACCACCACCATGAGGATGTTCAACAGGCTATAAAAAAAGAAATATACAGTATAGAAGTTGTACTGGAAGTAAATTATGAAAAGTTTAATAATTTTTTATGAAATCTTATATCTTGAGTTGAAAAAAAATAAAAAATCCTGAAATCAAAACATAAAATAGACTTCAATAATAAATAAAATTGTGGATTTTGTTATTACTTTAATTTAAAGTTTTTAAAAAAACTCACGTTCATGCAAACACCACGAACAATTGGCCAGCAGTTTCTTTTTGCTTTATATTTATGATAAGCGCGACCAGCTTTCAAAATAGGTTTATCGATACGACCACCTCCAGCAACAATACCAATTGATGCTCTATTGAAAGAGGGAATGGCTTTTTTAACACCAGATGGCAATTTGACACGTGTAACGTTGCTTTCTTTGTTGTGTGATACTACAGTAGCATAATCACCAGAAGCACGAGCCAACTTTCCACGATCACCAGATTTCTCCTCAAGGTTACATACAATTGTTCCTTCTGGCATAACTCCAACGGGTAAAACATTACCAATTGTTAATGCAGCTAAACAAAATAAAAACAAGGACCTGTCAATAAAAAAAAACAACCTCGACCAACTTATGGTTGTAAAATAGTGGTATAATATCATTAAAAATAGTAACAGTCTGTCTGGTACAACATAAATTACAAGAACTCCATTTCAAAATAAAGAATTAATCTAATTAAATAATGCTATAAGATTGGCTAACTACATAACTGACAAAGAAAGAAAAAAAATATAACAATCTTTGATAACTCAATAAAAATATTGAAAACAAATTGTTATTAGGATACCATGTATTTCTATTAACATTTACTATAATAGTAAGCATTAGGTTTTTAATAGTTTAAGTTTATATTCATAATAAATATTAAAACTTTATATTCAACTTTTTAACTTTATCAAATTATTAACTTTTAATACCGAATATGTTAGTTTAAATATATGAGTGAAATTTACATGTTAAGGTATTGGTTGCATAAGAAAATAGAAATACAGCTTTGTCTGCATTCCAGTACTAAACATAAATGTACTGACTAAATTAGAGATTATATATATTATATATACAGGACTCAATTTAACAGTCAGACATCAGACTTTGTCCAGCTAAAACCTCAATTTATAAAGTAATTAGACATTTTGACCAATAGAAATTAAAATTCTATAAAATACTTTATTATATTTATAAAAATTAAAAGTAAAGTAAATTAAAAATAAATTAAAAACTTTAAAATAAAACTCTAAAAACTTAAAGTTAAAATTACATTTTGTTAGGTTTTTAATTGCGTTTGAAATAAATTACTTTAAAACTTATCTTTTGATTATGTTGTAATTTTGAAAAATAAACGCATTGTGTGTAAATAAAATAACATTTAATTTACACATAATGCGTTTATTTTAAATTATAATTTTTTTTTATTTATTTAAATTTTATTTAAAGTTCTTAAAAGTTTTGATTTTGTTTAAAGTTTTTTTAAAGTTTTGATTTTACGCCTTCACATAAAATAAAAACTTTTAAAATGACCAATAATTAAAAGTCATTTGTGATGTAACAATTTTTTTTGTTACATTTAATAATTAAAACAGCCGTTTCAATGTTTTAATTATTAAAAAACAAGCATTGTCAGTTACAGCGTGAAAATTTATATCTATCTAAAAAACATACAATATTAAATTGGAACTATTTTATTAAAAAAAAGAAGCAAAAGTATGTGATAAAATATTTAAAATGACTAGCATTAAATAAACTTAATAACATGACAAAGATTTTGATGGTTCCGTAAAACCGTTGATCAGACACTGTCCGACGCAAACAAGTTTTGATCTGACATTTTGTCTGGAACTTTATAAAAAAACTAAATTGAACCTTGTATATATATATGTATATATATATATATAAATATATATATATTATATATTGATTTTAGCGATATATAAATTAAATTTAACGATATTTTTGAAATTTACTAAATCAACAATATCTGAAAAAAAAATTGAATTATAAAGTACTTTATTCTTTAAAACCAATAAAATCTTAATACTTTAACTTCACTGATGCAACAACACATCACTAAACAATAAAAACAACATACATACATACAACAATTAGCAGAAATGTTGTGAAACAATAATTGTAAAAAAAAATTTAATAGCACCACACTGAAATAATTTTAGTTTAGAGCAATATGTTATCTGATGTTAAATGTAGTTTAGGCTCTAGTGCACCCAATCAGTGGATTCATGGTAACCATAACATACATACATACATAAAATGTTTTACAAAATATACATTTAATATATCCTGGTGTCAGAATGTGACAATAGAAACCTTAAATGGACCACCCATTCCAATTTGCAAAAGCGCCAAAGCCAGTAATATTTCATATTACTGAATCACCATTACAAATATTACAATAACTTCCATAAAATTACAATGCAATAACTTTCATAAAATAGTAAATATTATCTAGATAATATTCAAGATGTTTTTTTCTTATTTTAACAAAAAGCTTGGGATTAAATGCAATTTAAACAAAACATTGCAGTGTAAAGTTTTTTTTGCTTAAACTTTGTGAAATCGTGAAACCATAATAATTTGTATTTCAAGATTTTTTTTATTTTACCCTAATAAGCTACTTATGAAAGAAAGAAAGAAAAAAAAAAAAAAAATTAATTTTATGTATTTCTAAAGACTTTAAAAATTTCTAAAACTTAAAAAAAATCTTGTGAGTATTCAAATTGCAATAAAAGTATGTATAACTGATTTTTTTAAAAACTCTTTTAACATAAAACTACATAATAGAATAAAATTTTATATATAAAAATTTTTATAATAACCAAAGAATAGCAAATAAAGTTTATCATATTTCTACTTTTTTTACAAGTGATGTGTGCTTACAAAATATAAAATACTTCATAATATATACTTAATAAAATAAAATAAAGAATGTAATAATGGAAAGAACAATGTTTATCACTCTGCTAACACTATTAACAGTTAGTGTTTTATTCTATGCAGTATGTAATCATATCATTATGGTATATAATTAAATAATAAATTAAAAATCTGTGAGCAGAGGTGAACTTGATTTATGCAGTTAGGAAAGGGTGGCATATCTTAGTTGATTTCAATTAAAAAAATTTTAACTAAAAGCTGTTAACAATCAACAAAAATAAAACAAATAATAGATAATAACCTTTTTAAAGAGAAAACAATTGAACTGATAATGGCTGAAAACGATAAGGTAAAAATTTTTTTAAAAAAACATTAATCAGCTTATTTTTAAGCAAAAACTAAAGTTCTTTAATTTTGTTCTGTAGCTTAATTAACTCAACGTTTTTGAGTTATTTTTGTTTTCCAAAATTTAAACAATAATTCAAAAGTATATTATCCCACTAAGTTATATAATTAAAAAACAATTTTAAAAACAGTTCAGCACTGCAGTTTCTTAGAACATTAAAATCTAAACATAGGTTTCCAAAACGATGTGAGATCACACATAACAAAGAAAAATTACAAACAACTGGAGTATAATAAATTGGTCTTGAATGCTGTTCAAAATTTAATTGTAACCTGGACACTTTAATACATTTGCTATTATGTATTATTAAGACAAGTATAAATATTAAGACGAGTGAGCAGATCTTTTCTTGATCTGATAACTTTCACTGTTAAGTCAACTATGCTTCTGTTTGCTTTATTAATTTCGAGTAGACTATTTATCAACACTTTTAAACAGTCACACACGGTATTCTAATAAGTATCTTGAGGTTAAAAAAATTGTATGCCAGCATATAAATATTTTACCTTAAGCATATATAATACATTAGGTTAATAAATAAAATAATAGGCTATTAAAATGTAGACTTTTAAACACTACCAATCAAGAGATGAGATAAATTCACATATTAAAAAAGTTATATAAAGGTTTATAGTTTGTAATTACTTGAGAATTATAAAATACCTAATTAAAAACAAGCATAATTACATATTGCATACCTTTTTTTCCACAATATACAAACTGGCCGGTGTGCATCCCTTCAGTAGCAATAAATAGCTCTTTTCTTAGCTTAAACTTATAAGGGTCCCTGAAAACTACAACAGCGAGTGGAGCACCTCGTCCGGAATCATGAACAATATCTCTAACGACTCCTTTTATATAACCATTTCTTTCAGCAAAATCTAGTGCTCGTAATTTAGCTGCTCCTTTTCGCTTGTGAGTGTGAGCTCTGAAGACACTTCCTGCACCTTTTCGCTGACCTCTTATCACACGACCCATGCTAAAAATACCAAAACAATATATTTACTTCTCTGCTGGCAAACACCAAGTATTTAATTAAAATATAAACACTATCAAATTAAAGATCTATATATCCATTTCTTAAGATAATATTACAAATAATACACATTAAATACGTTGGATACAACAAGATAAAATAAAGGCAAACACTGACACTCAGCGTTGTCTTCGGATTCAGAAAAGAATCGGCTATAGGCCATTATGAACTTTTTAGTGACGCGTTTTAAAAACTAATCTATTCGGATCGCATTAGTATTAATCATTTTTAGGCGAGGTTAGGAAATAAAAAATTGTTGGGGAAATCCCATAAACATATATTTTAAAGCACATCAGAAATAAAATAAACTTTTACATCGCTAGTCATAAAAACCCTTAGGTCTCATTCAGATGACGTGCACGATAGCTATTGCAGTTGGCCTACCAAGTTATTCATAGTATAAATTGCAGTCGATTTTTTGTTATTGTTGATGTCGGCTTGAAGTTTTATGAATTCATGGTTTAATTCGATCATTTCGATTATTTTACAGTCATCTGCATACATTTTAAAGTTGTGTTGAATTTTTTCAGGCAAATTATTATTGTACATAAATAAAGAATTGTTCCAAGAATAGATCCTTTTGGCACACCGCTAGAGACTTTTTTAATCGAATCTATTGCTACGAACGGTTACGCGTTGTAGTCAGTCTGTTAGCCAGCTCTTGATTCATTTGTGTAAGTTGTCGGGCACTCCGTAAAATTTTAGCTCACGCAACAGACGACGGTTCGGAACTTTGTAGAATGCTTTATCAAAGTCGGTAGTCGTTGGCAGGACATGTAATGAGGTTGCTTCAATTTATTTTTTGATAAATATTTATTTTTTAAAACTTTTAGGCCGTCAAGAGCAGAATGTAAGTCGAATATTTCGAGATTGAGATGTTGTCGGCTTTGCTCCAGATCAGACGTTTCTTATAAAGGTTCGAGGAATTGGTTATTTTTTTTATTATTATTTTTTTTAATGTTGATTTTAGGTGCCCCAAGAAGTTCTTACGGTCTTATCACAGAGCACCGCGGAAGAGCATTTAATAGAAAGTTCACGCCTCCTTCCCAACCGATGTCGCAAAACTTGCCCAAAGGTGGGGTTTGAACCACGGAACTTACGTTTCTGAGGCAAGTGCGCTACCACTGCGCCACGGCTGTTATTTAGAGTTCTCTAGTTTCTATTTTAGAGAGAACAATACTTCACTCAAGAAGAAAGTGTGTCTGACCTTTGACTGAGTAGCCAAGAGGACTAGCTTCTTTTATATCGATTAACTAGCCTGGTTTGTTGATTAAGATCAAGTCAAGAATATTTTTTGGAGGTTCCTCACAAGTGATTGATTGGAAAAGTTATAAGCTGAGTCAAATTATTTTTTTCGAGACAATCTTAAAATTTGCTATCTGTTGGCCAATTGTTTTGTACATATACAAACAGTCGCGATGCCACCTCCTACGTCGACATTTGAATACACATTGTTGCTAAAATTGAAGTCACCGCACGCAAATAAGGTTAAGCAACCAATTGAGTTGCAATTGTCAGAGGAAGTAATTATTGAGCTTATTATTCAATCGAGCGTTGAGTCGTTTAGGTCATGAGGGCGGTAAAGACAGCCTATTAGAATCGACTAATCGTGAAACTTCAATTTGATCCAGACTTGCTTAATAGTGAAAGAACAATCAAGGCTTTCCTTTGTGTAAAAGGCCACGCCTCCCCCTCTTCCGATTTTGTTTTTATTGAACAGTCGGTGCTCTACAATTTTTGTGTCGGATGTGTCGATGAACCAAGTTTCGGTAATCAAAATTATGTGTGGTTGAAGTAAAGTGATTATTGAGATATTTTGTAAATTCATCGATAAATTTTAAATTTTATAGAAAAATATTTTAGTGTTTAAAAACTCGCGGCGGTTATTTCTGCTACTAGGTTTTAAAAAATTATTTAGTTACGGACGTAACGAAAACATATTTACTAAATTTGTTTTAAAAATTACAGAAAAGTAGTACAATGCAAATTACCACACATAACTTTTGCTACTTATTTTTGTTAAAAGGTTTCAAAGGAAGATTATAAAAAGTCATTTTCTTTTGAAAAAATTGATGTTTCCAGATTCCCAAAATAACTTGGTAAACACAAATCTAATTGGTCTATATAAAAAGAAAACTCATACGAAAATTAAATATATGGAATGGGCTAAACATGAAGGTCTGGTTGAGGATTGGTTTGCACTTGTTGGAAAACTCAAATACAATTATTTTGTTTAAAGTACACTATATATACAAGTGCTATATGAATGAAACAAATAAAAAACCATATATATATATATATATATATATATATATATATATATATATATATATATATATATATATATATATATATATATATATATATATATATATATATGTATATATATAAACAATTAAATTTAATTATGTTGAAATAATGCAAGAGACTTTTTGCCAGATAACAATGTTATGACTACGTAATGCAGAGTACTACACAAAAGATGTAGTACTCTGCATTACATTACTCTACCACAAATACCACCATCACTACCTTATTGAAAAAATTCCTTTTTTTTTTAATTATTTCTTGATTATTCTTATTCATATTTCATAATGACTGATTTTGTCTTATACTTTTTTGAACATGTTCAAAAAGTATAAGACAAAATCAGTCATAAATAATTAATTAATTCAAATAAATAATTTCAAATTTCAAAATCCATTTAGATTTTGAATATTACTATTGGTCAATCAGTCTTATTATTCATATTAGATGTTTAATTCATTTAACTCATTTTCAAACTCTACTTGTTCAGATAAGTCAGCATAAATGCTAAGTTGAATAGCTTTTTTCACTTCTTTTAGGGTCACAAAATTATCATTCAATTTATCTGTTTGTGATGCTAAAAAAAAGAAGAAACTATTTTAGACTAGCTCCAAAATACAAAAAAAACAAAAAAAAAACAGAAAAAACAGTAAAATAAGATAAGATTTATACTAACTTTTAAAAATGCTCACTCCTTTGCTTTAATAAATTAACAATGAAAATTAATTAAAGTAGTTTTATGCACATTTAAAAAAATTATGAAAAAAATAAATAATAACAATAAACTATCATCATCAACACACAATTACAAAATAAATGTAGTGTTTGTAGAAATGCTTATTGCTAATTAAAAAATATGTATGAGAAATTGCAATTGGATAAAAAATATTGTTATTAATTTTTGTTAATTCTAGTAATTTTTAATAAATTTTGCTAATTGTGTATTTTGTTAATTTAGTAAGGAAATCACTAATTTTGTAGCATTAAGTTTAGAAAAGACTTCAAGACATTGCTACAAATTATCTAAATGTAATTATTCAATTCTAAAATGATTGATTGAAGGTACGTATGGTGTACGTATGGTTCTTTGCCACATCTTTAAAAATAAAACACGCTAAATGACCAAAACTGTAAGTGTACTGTACTAAGCGTTTCAATCTGTTAGGGCTGCCATTTTTACAATCTCACTGTGAAACAAAATTTTTGTTCCACGATTAAATAAAATTCATTGAAGAATGACACAATATTGATGGTTAGTGCTAATAGGCGGCTCCGCCGGCTATTTAAAGGGACTAATTTGTCAGTCGATGTATGTATGTTTTACAGTGAAAAAATAAAAAAAAACATTGAATGTTTTTGTTTTTAAAAAATAAAATAAAAACATTCTAGTTATTTAATTTGTGGTTTTGTGGTTAATTTAATTTATCTAACTACTTTCTGCAATTAAATTAATGCGTTTTGCCATAATGTAGCCCGCGGAGCCGCGTCGCACCGTCTTTTAGACACCCCCAATATTGATGACTAAGCTTTAAACAAAGGCATATAATGATATGTTTTTAACATTTACTGAATGATATTATATGTTTTTAACATTTACTGAATGATATTATAACATTTACTTCTAGTATTATTTAAAACTAGCTGAATTGACCCGTAAAAATACGGGTCTTTGTAAGTCTATTCTACACAAACTTTTTCCCTTATTTTCTTAATCTAGCTGTCCGTATCGGTAAATACAGGTCTTTTCTTCTACTTCTATATTTATCTATTCCACGCTAATCATTTCTTTACTTGTTCCTTATTTACTTCAATATTTTTTAGTAAACGGTGGAAAAAAATTCATTAAAAAAATTTGCTTTGAGAGCAAAAAAAAACTTTAACATACGCACTTTTTCCGCATACGTATATAGCTTATTAAACCCCGTTTATTTATTTATTTTTTTAAAAATTCTGAACTAAACTACTTCCTACTTTTAGACCAGCCATGCAGTAGCGTAGCAAAGGGCCCGCAGGGCCCGCAGCCGCGGGGAGGCCCAGAGTTATTAGGGGCTCAAGGCAACAAAGAAAAAATTTAAAAAAAAGTGTCAGTACAATAAATAACATGCGTATATCATTAGTTTGTGTTTTAGATTACCGTTTTTTTATTTTCATGTATAACTTATTTGTCTAGAAGGAAGGTAAAGGCAAGGTGGTGGGGGGTGGGGGAAAGGAATAGAAAAGAAGTAATTTAGGGGCCCGGATTAAATTTTTGCGGGGGTGGGGGGCCAATTTTTTGTCGCTACACTACTGCAGCCATGGACCATGGTTTATGGTCGCGTCCTAGCCATTTTCAATAGTTACTATTTACTATATTTATTGTTATTATATGCTTAGTTTTGAATAATAACGGTCTTTTATAGTTACCTTTGTATTAGACGGAAACGGTAATGCAATTCTTTAAAACGTTAGTCACTTAAAGCGTCAAAAGTCATGCAAAAAAATAAATTATAAATTTTGTGGTTTAAAAGTTGAAAAACTAATAATAATATAATAAAAGGTTTGGTAATTTTTAAACGTTATTATTTAGCTCTTACTTATGGTATTTATTTTGTTTTCATTTTACATTTTTAAAAAAATGTTGAAGCACCTAACTACATGCATAACTTTGATAGCTCACAAGTTAAGTGCGCAGTCATCAGAGTCGCTGTGCAATGCTTCAAATCCGCGCCTAAAAAATCTCCATACATTTTTTTTAATTTTTTTAATCTGGCTATATTTATAGCAAAAAATTAAATATAGCGAAAAACCTTTTAATTGCTTTTTTTCCTCTGCCTCCACTGCAATACCATGTGGAGTAGCGGGACGGTTTTATCAAATTTTTTTCCTTATTAGGTTTTAGGACTTTTTTTTTAAG